CAAGGAAATCACAGAGAAACCAAGTTTCTCTGGACTTCCCCTTCCAGCTATATTGCAGCTCTGGACGAGCCCCACCTACAGTGGAGAACCTAGACTGCACAGTTAAATTTGATCGTGACTGTTTGTGAACTGCAGTCATTCCACAGATTTTCTGTTTCAATAATGTTTATTGGAATTTTACATACAATACAAAAAAAATAGAAAACAGTATAAAGGCCTTCAGCCAGCAAATTGCCCAGTTTGAGGTAGCCAACTGTACATGGGGAGGGGCGGAATTGCCTCATGGGCTATATACAATGGGTACATAGAAACTAAAACATCAATTAACCTGAAAATCAACTGGTTGGTGGTCATAAAGTACCAAGAAAGATTATCAACAGCAATGCTATCATATTATTGGCTAAATTGCCATAGGGTGATAGAGCTTCGTGACAAAGGGCAGAGGCATAAACAGTTTAGCCCACCTCTCACTAAGGTGAACACATCTTCCTCTGCCATACAATCAATGTCAAATGAATTTATACAGCTGAACCGAGCTAAGGGGAGAAAGAAACCCCCAAGGCAAAACAATCACAAAAAACTGAGTAAATAAATACTGCGAGCTGGGCCTCTGGTAGAAGCCATGTTTCCAGAAGGAAAGAAGATAAGAAAGAGACTGAACGAAGAAAGGAAAGAAAAGGAGGGAAAAAAAAGAGCAAAGGCAAGAAATAGGTTGTTCACCCCTCAGGTCGTCGTTGGAACATTCTTCATGTAGGAGTTTATAAGTATTGTATCCAAGGATTTCAGACCCTCTCAAACTTTGGTGTAGCATCACGAAGTATACTGACTAACTTCTCATTAATCATTATCCAGGTAAGCTTGTGCTTCATCACTGCCAGCTCCACCACCTACTTCCTCCAGGCAGTAGCAATTGCTATTTTGGCCACCAGGAACATAAAGCGAATATGCATATGTTGAGGGGGCCCCCTCTACCAGTTTATTAAGTAGGGCCGTTTTGGGGTTCTTGATCACATTCACCATTGCTACAGAGTATATGAGTGTGTGGACCCTAATCCAAAATCGTTTAACTTGGCTACACAACCACCACGTGTAGATCGCCGTGCCCACCTGACCGCAAAACCTGAAGCACAGGGCCAGGGAGTCTGGATACATCTTATGCAGTTGTTCAGGTACTAAGTGCCAACGAGAAGCCACCTTGTAAGCCACCTCAACTAAGGAGACATTCATGGTACCCTTATATATCTGCACTGACCAATATTCCACAGATTTTCAATGGGGTTTAAATCTGGCCTCTGACTAGGCCATGCAGGTACATTCACCTTTTTCTCCTTACCTTTTTCTTCTTCAACCACTGTGTCGTCATTTTCACTGTGTGCTTTGGTTCATTGTCATGTTGGAAGGTAAACGTTCTTCCCATTGACAACTTTCTGGCAGAGGGCAGCAGATTTTCCTCAAGAATTTGAGGATATTTTGCCCCATCCATTTTTCCTTTTGTTGTGACAAATACTCCAGTCTCTGCTGCAGAGAAACACCTCGTAACATGATAGAGTGGTGTTATTTGGATGGTGAGCTGTGTTGGTTTTTTCCACTAGACACATCGTTTAGTGTTGAGGTCAAATCATTCAATTATAGTCTCATCTGGCCATAACACCTTTTTCCATGTGGCCTCAGACTCTTCAAGGTGCGTTTTGGCAAAGCTCAGTGGTGACTGCATGTGGCAAATCTTGAGGAATGGCTTTTTTTTTCTGCAACCCTCCCATACAAACCACATTTGTGGAGAATTTGCAATATTGTTGTCACATGCACACAGTGACCACTCTTAGTCAATCTTTTCATAAATTCCTGCTTCAGATTTGCTGTAGGCCTCTTTGTAGCCTCTCTGACCAGTTTCCTCCTGGCTCTTTCATTCAGTTTGGAGTGACATCCTGATCCAGAGAGGGTCCGTGTTGTACCGAATACCTTCCACGTCTTAATAACAGACTTCATTGTGCTTCTTGACATTGATAAAGCCTTTGGAATGTTTTTGTATCCATCTCCTGACTTGTGCCTATTCACAACTTTATCCCAGAGATCTTTTGACAGTGCCTTGCCACCCATAGTTGATTGTTTGCTTCAGTTGCACTATCAGGGACTGAAATGCTCCAGGAAACTCTTTTCATGCTGACATAAAAATGACCATAGCTGATCACAGATGCACATAGGCTTCGTGCGCCATTGAGAAGGTGATTAGCTACACCTGATTGAGCTTACAATTCATTTTTAGGAGGGGGTGATTATTTTTCCGACTCAGTAATTCTGTTTTTGATTTTTTTAATTTTTCTTCTGACATGTTGGTGTTATATCTTTCAATAGGATGTTATAAGCTTCACTAAGTATATACAGCTGGATAAAAAAAAACAGTGTCTGTCTACATTTCAGGCTGCAAAACAACACAATGTGATTATTTTAAAGGAGGGGAGGGGGTGATTCTTTTCTATAGCCACTGTATATTGTTGGGGTAGGTCTCCTGTGCTGCCTTGGCTGGTGGTTTTCTTCACTTCGCCCTGAATCTGTAGAGCAGTGATTGGCAGGTACCACAGCTCAACAAGGCTCTTTAAACCTTTGCTGTGCCAGTCTGTGCAGTTCAAAAACTTTTATGCTGCCTCCACCATGTTACTAGAACATTTGGAAAACATCCGCAAGGATTTGCAGAGGAGACGGTCTAGGTCTCTTGTCACTACAGGGCCTACCTTGCTTAAGGTGCCCCCGTAGAACTAAAAGGGACTGGTATGCATTTGGGGAGACTCTTGTGACAATTGTTTTCATTCTTGCTGCAGGTTTTTCCTAGGAAAAACAAGAAAAAAAATGATGCAAGTTAAATTATCAGAAATATGACATTTTATTGCCAGCCTCTTAAGAAAAGAAAAAGCACACATACCCCTCCAAAGGTCCCCCAAAATGTGCTGCTGATTTTTGTTTTGTATGTGTTTTTAAGAAGCCAGCAATGAAATGTCATTTGCTGGCAATTGTGAACACTTTTTCTTTGTCAGTGTCAGTGCTGCTGTAACACTTTCTGTGCATTAGAAATGTGCCCCTTCACAGGCAGGACCAGGACACCCCCATGGCATGGCGTGTTATGTTTGCACCTGCAGCTTGATCCTACCAAACTCTGCCTCTATTACTGTCTTGTTGAAGATTCAGTGGATTCTCATTTAACCATTAGCCACCCGGCCTATAGCCGTTTGGCGGCCGCAAAAATGCTCTAGCTTTCCGGGTGCACGTCATTTGGCGTCCTCCCACACATGCGCAGTTCGCGCGGTTGCAGCAGCGCGATCTGTCACCAGCCGTGTACCACGGACACGGCCGATGACAGATCTGAGTACCGGCCCCCATTGCCGGTACCATGTGACCTGCTGTAAACAATCACAGCAGGTCACATGACAGTTGTATACAATGGATGGCTTCATTCATGCCATCCATTGTATACTAGTGCCTAGCTGTGAATGGTCACAGCAGGTCACATGCACGTCATGTGATTAGCTGTGGCCAAATCACAGCTAAGCACAAAAAAACAAAACAAAAAAAAAAAACCCTGAATGAATTGATTTCATTCAGGTAAATGCTTGCTTATAGCAAAGTAATTCTTTGCTATAAGCAAATTGTGTAAAAAAAAAATACTGATCACTTCCCCAAAGTAGTACAATGTTACTATGGTAACATTGTACTACTTTGGTCATAGTAAAATATGAAAAAAAAATCTTAAAAAAAAAAAAAATTTAATAAAAAAATTTTTAAAAAAAATATATATATATATAATTTTTTTTCATACTGTCACCAGTCAGTCAGTGTCCCTGTTCACCGCCATGCCAGTTATATGATGACGCTGTACTGCACTGGTGACAGTATGTAAAAAAAAAAATAGTGAAAATAATTTTTTTCATTTTCCGAAAAATTATGGCAAAAAAAATACAACTTCAAAAAACTCGCCATTCCTCTTATGAAGTACGTCGGACTGTCTACTCTGCAAAAAGGGTCATTTGGGGATATCTGTACTATTCTGACATTCTTGGACCTCAAGAAATTAGATTGGCCGTCAGTACTTCAGGATTGATCAATTTTCAGATCTATACCATAGTTTGTGAACTCTATAACTTTCCTACAAACTACCGTATTTGCCGGCGTATAAGACGACCCCCTACTTTTCCTGTTAAAATATAGGGTTTGAGCTATACTCGCCGTATAAGACTACCCCTCTTCCAACGCACACCAAATAAAAATGAAAAAACATCAGATTTGATTTCAATATGGTATGGTATTTCAGTATGGTATTCCAATGATGGGGTGCTATTCCTCCCACTGAGACCAATGATGGGGCACTATTCCTCCCACTGATACCAATGATGAGGCACTACTCCTCCCACTGACACTAATGGTGCCCCATCAGTAGTGTCAGTGTGTGAGGAATAGTGTCCCATCATTAGTGTCAGTGGGAGGAATAGTGCCCCATCATTAGTGTCAGTGGGAGGAATAGTGCCCCATCATTGGTGTCAGTGGATGAAATAGTGCCCCATCATTAGTGTCAGTGGGAGGAATAGTGCCTCATCATTTGTATCAGTGGGAGGAATAGTGCCCCATCATTGGTGTCAGTGGATGAAATAGTGCCCCATCATTAGTGTCAGTGGGAGGAATAGCACCCCATCATTGGTATCAGTGGGAGGTAGTGCCCCATCATTGGTATCAGTGGGGAGAAAAGTGCCCCATCATTGGTGTCAGTGGGGGAGGAATAGTGCCCCATCATTGGTGTCAGTGGGGGAGGAATAGTGCCCCATCATTGGTGTCAGTGGGGGAGGAATAGTGCCCCATCAGTAGTGTCAGTGTGTGAGGAATAGTGTCCCATCATTAGTGTCAGTGGGGGAGGAATAGTGCCCCATCATTGGTGTCAGTGGGGGAGGAATAGTGCCCCATCGTTGGTGTCAGTGGGGGAGGAATAGTGCCCCATCGTTGGTGTCAGTGGGGGAGGAATAGTGCCCCATCATTGGTGTCAGTGGGGGAGGAATAGTGCCCCATCAGTAGTGTCAGTGTGTGAGGAATAGTGTCCCATCATTAGTGTCAGTGGGAGGAATAGTGCCCCATCATTGGTGTCAGTGGGAGGAATAGTGCCTCATCATTTGTATCAGTGGGAGGAATAGTGCCCCATCATTGGTGTCAGTGGATGAAATAGTGCCCCATCATTAGTGTCAGTGGGAGGAATAGCACCCCATCATTGGTATCAGTGGGAGGAATAGTGCCCCATCATTGGTATCAGTGGGGAGAAAAGTGCCCCATCATTGGTGTCAGTGGGGAGAAATAGTGCCCCATCATTGGTGTCAGTGGGAGGAGGAATAGTGCCCCATCATTGGTGTCAGTGGGGAGAATAGTGCCCCATCATTGGTGTCAGTGGGGAGAATAGTGCCCCATCATTGGTGTCAGTGGGGAGAATAGTGCCCCATCATTGGTGTCAGTGGGGAGAAGGAATAGTGCCCCATCATTGGTGTCAGTGGGGAGAGGAATAGTGCCCCATCATTGGTGTCAGTGGGGGAGGAATAGTGCCCCATCATTGGTGTCAGTGGGAGGAGGAATATTGCCCCATCATTGGTGTCAGTGGGGAGAATAGTGCCCCATCATTGGTGTCAGTGGGGGAGGAATAGTGCCCCATCATTGGTGTCAGTGGGGAGGAGGAATAGTGCCCCATCATTGGTGTCAGTGGGGAGGAGGAATAGTGCCCCATCATTGGTGTCAGTGGGAGGAATAGTGCCCCATCGTTAGTGTCAGTGGGGAGGAGGAATAGTGCCCCATCATTGGTGTCAGTGGGGAGGAGGAATAGTGCCCATCATTGGTGTCAGTGGGGAGGAGGAATAGTGCCCCATCATTGGTGTCAGTGGGGAGGAGGAATAGTGCCCCATCATTGGTGTCAGTGGGGAGGAGGAATAGTGCCCCATCGTTAGTGTCAGTGGGAGGAATAGTGCTCCATCATTGGTGTCAGTGGGGGAGGAATAGTGCCCCATCATTGGTGTCAGTGGGGAGGAGGAATAGTGCCCCATCATTGCTGTCAGTGGGGAGGAGGAATAGTGCCCCAATCATTGCTGTCAGTGGGAGGAATAGTGCCCCATCGTTAGTGTCAGTGGGGAGGAGGAATAGTGCCCCATCATTGTGTCAGTGGGGAGGAGGAATAGTGCCCCATCATTGGTGTCAGTGGGGAGGAGGAATAGTGCCCCATCATTGGTGTCAGTGGGAGGAGGAATAGTGCCCCATCATTGGTGTCAGTGGGGAGGGAGGAATAGTGCCCCATCGTTAGTGTCAGTGGGGCAGAGGAGCGGCTGCTCCTTCTTTCACTTCGGCAGCTTGATTTTCGCGGGGCCGTTCGGCTCCGCCTCCTCACCGGTGATTGGTCGCCTGTGTGCGCTGGCGCCCAATCACCGGTAAGGAGGCGGAGCCGAGCGGCCGCGCGACCATCGAGGTGCCGAACGAAAGAAGGAGCAGCCGCGCTTCCTGGACCGGATCATCGTGGGACCGGGACCGGAGCCAGGTAAGGTACAGCAGCCCCTCTGCCCACCCCTGTACTTAGTGTCCGTTGGAGGACACCGCCCCTGGAAAAAGTGCCGCCCTGACACACCGGCTCGCCGTATACCGGCGTATAAGACGACCCCCGACTTTTCAGAAGATTTTCAGGGGTTGAAAAGTCGTCTTATACGCCGGCAAATACGGTAAATAATACATCCTAATTTGGGTTATTTCCAGCAAAGAAATGTAGCAGAATACATCTCGGCCTAAATTATGAAGAACAATTTTTTATTTGTAAACTTTTATAACAGAAACAAAGAAAAACGTGTTATTTTTTCAACATTTTTGGTCTTTTTTTGTTAATTTAGCAAAAAATAAAAAACCCCAGCGGTGATTAAATACCACCAAAAGAAAGCTCTAGTTGTGTGAAGAAAATGATAAAATTTTAGTTTGGGTACAGTGTTGTATGACCGCGCAATTGTCATTCAAAGTGTGAGAGCGCTGAAACCTGAAAAATGGCCTGGGCAGGAAGGTGTAAAATTGCCCGGTATTGAAATGGTTAAAGATGAAGTTTAGGTATGAATTTTATCGCATAGAATGCATAACTGCAAATTACTATAAGTAGCTGCCACTACTAAAGCAATAGCATCGGCCTTCCAGGTTCAGTGCAGGCTGCCCTTCTGGATAGCAACCAGAAGGGGTCGCTCGCTCGTCACTGCCGCCATTCACAGAACACCTTGTATTTTTTTTTCTACAGTACATACAGGGTGTTCTCTGACTTTACAAGGCAGAGAGGAGGTTCGGTGATGTGAGGACAGGAAGGGTTGTGTCCCCAGAACAAGAGAAGGGACAAATTCTATTGAGGGCACTTCCAGGGCCAACTGGGAGTTCTTCTCACTTTCGGAGGTTTCCACCTTCTGTTGCATCCCTGGGACAGGTGAAGTTTGGTACAAATACATAAATAAATAACCTGGCCTTTCCTTCTGTATCCAAAACATAAAATAAGTTTTTGCTTTACATACACTTTAAGATTACTACTGCTTGTGCAATTATCTAATGTCAGGTTTAAATCAGTTGTACAGTTAAACGTTGTTTTTTTTTTTCTTAAAATAGAACAAAAAAAGGGTACACTTACCTGCTGTAGCCCTGAACCTCCTCTTCTGGGGTCCCCTGACAGAGCTCTTGGCTTCTCCTCCTCTTGGTGCCACTTCCTATGGGAGCACAAATGCAGGCTCACTCCTGAGCCAGGCTGTTTGCATCCATAAACACAGGCAGCGTAGCTTAGCCCCGCCCCCCACTTTCTGTTCATGGGATTTAATTGACAGCAGCAGGAGCCAACGGCTCCCTCTGCTGCTTCTCTGTCCTGTGAATGCAGGGAGAGAGAAGAGAGCCACTATAGATGGGCGCAGTGCTTGATCAACTGAGGACTCAGTAAGTATTTTGGAGGGGGGAGCAATACAAATTCTAGGAAAAATTTTCTTTAACTTAATGCAGGGAATACATTACGGTAAAATGTCATGCCTTTGCAACTACTTTAACTTTTACAGAATCAAAATTGCAATTTGTAGTTTAACCACTAGATGCTGCTGACACAACATGAACATACAATAGTAACTCATAGCAGGTATCTGCACAGCCTGTCATCACACTGTTGCTGATGATACAAAATGCAGGACCTAGAAGCAAAGAGCTTGTCTATAGCAATACATCAGATTTCAGTTTTCATCTTTCTTTCCTGGTTATACAATTAAAGCAAGAATCCGGTTGTTAGGAATAGCACCATTGTTTCTCCTCTGGTCCATTGTGTATAAATTATAGTCATACAGGTAAATATGGAGAAAGTATATGATTGTAACCGTAAATGAACATGAAACTGTATGGAGTTGTATGCGCTTAATCTGTGGGATTACACAAAATTCAGATTAAAGCTAAGCTCTGGAGAAATAAAAAATACATAAATTAATGAATCTCTCTATCGGGCGGACTGCCCGAGGGCCTGGGGTCAGTAGGGGGCCCCATGAGATGCCCCGGTACCTTTTTCATAGGCTTTTTTGAGTTTGGGCAAGGAACAGGGGACCCATGATCCCTTATTGTCCGGGGGCCCCATGAGTTGTCAGTCCGCCCCTGCTCTCTATTCGTTAATGCATCCTTAACCTCCCTAGCGGTCTGATTATGTCCATATTTCTGTGCTCAAAGCGGTACATTTTTTTTGCATGGAAATATGTATTTTTTTTATTGTAGGCCTGTAATTTTTAGAAATCTGTCCGAACAAGAGTCTAGTAAACATCCCGGGTATGATAAAATTTGAAACACGAAATCTGAAGTGATAATTTAATAAATAATCATAAAAAATAATAATATAATAATAATAAATTTAATTCAATAATATAACCAAACCAAAAACACTGAAATTTGAAATATAGCGCCAAGTTCGCACATCACTGAGCAAAGTCGCAAAATTGTTTTCAGTGTCTGATGATGAATTCCCCACGAATCATTATCACTCAATTCTGCAAGTGGTTCTAATTTACTATCGCTGTTCTCTAGCTGGTCTAAAACCGCTTTTGACCTAAAGGGACGCTTTTTGGACGTCATGGACATTTCTCAGTTTCCAGGCAGAAAGAAAGGTAAAAATGCAGGCAGGGCACAGGACAAAGCACTCGGGACAAAATGTATGTGAAATGGTTTGATACAGGAATGTTATATTGCGTGATTTTAGTGTATTTCGTGAATGTCCCTTTTTCACATTTTTAAATTTCCCGCCGGTTCCATCCCCCGTACGTCCTGACATCGCAGGGAACGGAACCCAGATGACAGATGCCGGCAGCACAGGACAAGGTAAGTGAGGAAGAGATCCCAGAGCAGTGCTGCAAGGTATTCCCGAGTGTAGTTCAGGGTTACCACTTATGGTGCTGAAACTTTACCCCAAGCTACACTTGGGAACCTCCAGGGAGGTTAAATACATTTTTTTAATTCAAGCAATGTAAGTTACTGAACATGGTATCAGCCTGTTGGACTCCCTCTACAACACACCTCAGACTGGGAGTGGGAGAAGCAGCAGAAGATGTCAATCAGTTGTGCAGCAGAGTCAGGAGCACACTAATAGGAGGGGAGAGCAGATCAAATAACTCCTGATAAATCCGAAGTCTGCTGCTTCTCCATTCACTGTCCATTCACAGAATGGGGGTGAGGAGGAGGCTTGAAGGTGTTATTGAACTGCAGCAGAGAAAGAACAGGTCCTGCCAAACAGGGCTGTGCAGTGATAGCAGAGCTGTGTAACTAACTCTCAGAACTGGATAGGCAGAAAAACATGTTTTTTTTTTTTTGGGGGGGGGGGCAAATAAAATAGCTCCCTTCTATGTCTTTCATTTGTGTATTTAAGCATCAAGTGTACAAATGCACCTCAAAAATTTAATTTTTGTTATTTATTTATTTCAGGGACCAAACCTTTCTGAGCAGATTTAATTGGTCAAATTCTTTATTTATGTAGACAACACCGCATTCATGGAGCAATAAAGTATAGCCAAAAATATACAAATCAGGAAGGGGTAACACCCCTAAAGTACACAGGTCGTCATGAAAAAGTACAACAACAGGTATAAACAATAGACAGTGCAAAATAAACTCTTGTAGTACTTAGGATTAGCCCATAGGCCACAAAATGGGAACTAAGCAAGGGGTGCTCCCAAAAGTTGGATCTGACTGCGCCTACAAATGCCAGGGTTTGTCTGTTTTAATAGATTGTATAGAAGAGTGGGGGTGAAATCAGACAAGGAAAGTAAGAAGACAAAAGCAAAAAAAAGGAGGAGGGGGGGAGAAGGGGGTGAGAAACCAGAGGAGGGAGAGATAATTCCAGCAAAAAGGGTTCGATGTGTGAATCTTGTGAGGAAGATGTAAAAGGGTTTTCCCCTCTTTGGAGAAAGTAAATATATTCCAGCGATGCCAGGTTTTCGAGTAGGCTTCATGTCTGTTTTGCGCTAATACTAGGTTCCCCATCTTGTTCACTTCTACT